AAAACCCCAAAACCCCAAAACCCCAAAACCCCTCAAGATAAAATATCTTCTGAATCAATTGATTATATATTTTTAATCTTTAAATTAATAAATCTAGGAAACTATGACAGAAGGCCGCAAAAGTCAGAATAATTCAAATAAAACTGCAGGCACATCAAATAATTCTAATGCTAACAACGCAAATGATCTTTGGTCTAGCTTCAGTCTATCAGGACCTTAACAATAAAACAATGAACAGAATGATTACGGCAATTAATAGAAGGGAACTTACTAAAAGACATAAAATTAGTCTGTAAGTTTTGAAAGATTTCATATAATCACACCAATCTTATTTGCTTAAGCAATTATTGTTATTTACTAATTTCAATAGAGAAGGAACACTAATTAAAATGGATTCCAAACTGATGTATAAATATCCGCTACACAAAATTAGAACAGGAGATAAGAAAGAACACTTTAAAAATTTGACTTCTCATCATCAGGAGCAAATACCGGTAATTTGTAAAAGTTATAAAGCAATACTTGGAGAAGAAATGCAGATAGTGAAGCATTCTCTTCTCTTCATGATGATGATCCAAATGAGAAATTCGATCAATTCAAAGGTAAAAAGAGCACATATGATGAGAGTTTGTATACTTCTAAATTGGACGAGAGTTAGTTGACTAAGGAGTAGAAGGTATACGCAAAAAAAATAGAGAAGGATATTTTGACCTAGCCTGCTGAGGGAAATAGACACTTAGCAGAGGAGAGAAATCAAATGGAACTTAGTGACGATGAAGAGGACGAAATGATGTATAGTGGAGTAATTAGAGATGAATAGAGCTATAACAGTAAAATTAATTAAAGTCAAGGAAAAGCAGGTCGTTAAACTTCTTAATTGCAAACTCCTGTTACTATGAATGCCTAGTCATAGCCTTTTGTCCCTGGTGGGAAAAGATAAAATAGCAGTAGTAAGTAGCAATAATAATAGCAATAAAATTAGCAACAAAACTATAATAATGGAAGAGGGGGTAATAAGAAGTAATTTTCAAATCAAAGCTCGTCGAATTCATATGTATGTAACTATTTTTTTGAATAACATCATTTAGCATAAACAAAATGATCGAGTTAAATTTAGATTAATTCCCAGAAAAGATAAATAGAATGTAGTAGACATTTTACTCGGAACATTTTTAGATAAAAAGAAAGCTTCATTAGTAAAAGGATAGGCAGAAAATGATTAAAAGTCTAATTTGGATCATATAAATTAACTCTTAATGCCGTGGAAAGGGGATAGAGAATTAAAAAAAGAAAGTAAGTTATTAAAAGAATCTCTAACATTTTATAGTAATGAGCTAAACTCATGCCCTATCTGATAACTCTACTTTTCACAAGTCAACTTCTAATAATAACTTAGGGTCAATTCAAAGTAGTAGTAATCCAATAAAGCAAAGTTAGATATTGAATTAGCATCAATAAACTCCAACTTAAAACTAGTAGTCATAGCAGCAGCATCAATAGACTTAGGAATAAAAGCCAACCACAAATGAATAACCTATAACTAATTAATTAGCAGCCACTACTTCAAATGGATCTCAAGCGCTAAATACATCTGCATCTATATTCATCCCAAAGAGTAAAGCTATTGCTGCTGATCAAAGCAACAACACCGCTCAAGTAAATTCCCAACAGACAATTGATAATTCTAATCAAAATACGACAACAATTAATAATTAATCTACTTTTCAACCCACACAAGTCAATCTTTCTTCTCAGATTAACTTGCAATAAAATTCCTAGGCCTTAAATGTCTAACAAAATATAGTGAGTCAATAACCATTGCAACAATAAACAAAAATAACTGAATATATACCATAAAGGAAAGCTTTCCAATAGTAGCAAGTCGTACAATAGCAATATAATCCAATGAATAATCAATAAATGATGTAGTAGCCCCCATCTTAAGGCTTCATGCCAAACTAAAATATGGGATAATAAAATCGAATGGGAGGGAGTTAGCCTTTCTATCCTTCCAATCAAACAATGTATTCTGCTCCATACGTAGGAGCATATCAACAATAAAGTTTTCCTCAGCCAATCCAAAATAATCAACTCCCGAATAATTTTGGAGCAAATTAAAATCCTATGATGAACCCACTAGCATATGGAAATACTGGATTAGCAGGAATGCCATAAAGTTCATCATTCACTAACTTGGATCAATAAAATACTTAATTAAGTGGAGGCAATAGTTTCGCTCTAGGTGCAACAGTCAGTAATAACTCAGCAACTTCAGATTAGTCAAAGAACTTAAATATAGAGGCGCAGCCATTTACCAAACCAAAAAAGTGATGAGTCTACTTTCTTAAACTATCAATCAAATCACTCTCAAATCACTTTCTATATTTCTTTTTTTTATTATAGTCTCACGATATTGAGATCATGGGGTTTTGGGGTTTTGGGGTTTTGGGGTTTTGGGGTTTTGGTAAATGGCT